CCCCCCAAGGCGCGAGATTACAGGCTGAGCCACCGAGCCCGGCTGACAATGATTTTCATACCATCAACTCCACTCTGTAAAATTCTCCTTGTCTTACAGACCCAGGAAAGTCTGACCATTTCAGATGCTACATCCTTGTCTCTCTAACTGCTTATGAGATCAGGGGTTGGCAGATTAAACAGAGCCAGTGCTCTGCTTTTCTAAATAAAATTTTATTGGAACACAGCCCCACTCATCTGTTTATGGTCCATAAAGGCCATATAGCAGAGTTGAGAAGTTGTGACAGAGACTGTGGACTGGAAGGTCTGAATTATTTACTACCTGGCCCTTTACAGAAGAGATTTGCTGACCAGTGGCAGAGTCAGGCAAGTCCAAGCCCTACACTTGCTGTGTGATCTTGGGCAGATCACTTGCCCCCTCTGAGCCTGCCCAGTCATCTTCTGAGGGTTGTAATGAAACTCACAGGTGATGGATGTGAAATTTTTTGTAAACTGTAAAGTGCGATGCACTATCAGCAGCCCAGTGCCTGATAGGCACGAAAAGTCTGCTTATTGGTAAACAAGAAGGCAGTCATCTTATGGGCCTTCCTGGGGCTGCAGGGAGGTGACATCTGGGCTTAGGTGCTGAATGCATCATTGTCCACTCTCAGGCAGACTTGGCAGGTTTCAGCATAAATTAAAATTCTTGTGGGGAGTCACCTTATATGTGGTGCCACATCATAGCCAAGTCATTATGGTAATTTGCAAAGCTCTCTGGTGTGTAACTGGAGCCATTTGCTTCAGATTTGCTGGCTGTGACCTTGTTCAGGCTGTCCAGTCCTGCATTTGGTGAACCCCCAGTCTTGGGGGTTTGTACTTCTGAGTCTGGCCTCACAGTCATCCAGACCTGACCTTTCTGGGTTAGAATGCTCCGCACAGGGCCCTGTCTCCCTGCCGTGAGCCCAGGAAGAAATAATCATCAGCACTATTACTTTTAAAGTGCTTACTGTGAGCCGGACACCACGTCAAATGCATTGTGTTTGTAATCTCGCTTGTCATTACAACCTTGTGAGGTAGATGTTAGCACCATTTTACAGCTAAGAAAACTGAAGCTTGAAGAGGAAACCCAACCAAATTCTCACCTAGCTTCACAAGTGCCAGGCCAGGCACTGCTATGGATTTGCTGTGTGACTGGGGTTGGTCCTTTCCCTCTCTGAGTCTCAGTTTCTTATCCCTTAGTGAAATAGATGGTTAGTCAGTCCCAACCTGACATTCTGAGATTTCTCCCAGCCTCCAAAGTCACTTCACTTGCATGAGGCAGGCCAGGTCCAAGGTCTGCTCTTGGTCCCCTGTGATACACAGCGAGATGTGGTTGCTGGGTGTCAGCCCCTTCCCAGGCCTCCCCATGGCAGTAGGACGATGTGCCCCTCTCACACCCTGGCTTTCCCAGGGGAGGATCCATCCTTCCCTGAAGATGGAGAGTGAACAGGAGTGAGCTCTCCCATTGGAGTCCTGTGATGCCCTTGAGGACAGAGAGGCAAGGCAATAGACAGGATGCAATGCCCACATCTTTCTTGGCAGACTTAGGCCTGTGGCAGGTGGCGGTGAGTTTACCCACACCTTTCTGGTGACATCAGCATCTCTGGGACACAATATGCAGCATCAGGTTTAACTTGCAGGCTTCGAGAAAGCAGGCAGCGAGGGGTAGCGTTTAGGCTTTGGGAGACCTGGGCTAGGTCTGCACTGTGCCAGCAATTGCTGTATGACCTCGAGTGGCTGCTTGCCGACCCTGGTGCTCAGTGATTCTCTGCAAGGTTGGAAGGTCAATGTTTTCACCCAGGGTGCTGAGAGGAGCACAGGCGACTTGGAGCACCAAGTGGTACCAAACTGTGACCCGGGTGGCGCCTTTCTCCTCCCTCTAAAAGCCAGCGTGCTTATTTATTGCAGGAAAATCTTTCACTGTAGCCAGGGAAGCAACTCACAGGCCGCAATAATTTCTCAAGTGATGACCATTTCTTCCCACAGAGGTGGATTTGAGCTCCGCTCAGCCCCTTTCTCCCTGTGTGACCTTAGCAAACTGCTTGACAGCTTGGTGCTTTCATGTCCTGGTCTATAGGTGGAGTGGGCTTCCCCACCTGACCGAGGCAGCACCAAGATTAAAGTGTGGGAGTCTCTGTAATGGTTTCACTTTGAACTGTCCCAAAGGCTTTCCAACACCATCTACACTGGAGCCAAAGGTGGGGATGCTTATTCAGGGGTCTCCAGTGATTCAGCAGTTGACCAAAGGTAGCAGGACAGGCTTTGAGGTCTGAGAGATCTAGGTTTGAACTGTGGCCCACCTCTTAAAAACCCCAAAGCCTAGTCAGAGACACTGAATCTCTCCAAACCTTGACTTTTCTCATCTGGAAAATTGCTGCCAGGCACGGTGGCTCATGCCTGCAATCCCAGGACTTTGGGAGGTGGAGGTGAGAGGGTTGCCTGAGCCCAGGGTTTTGAGACCAGCTTGGGCAGCTTGGCAAGACCTCATCTCTACGATAAATCAAAACATTATCCAGGTATTTAGCACACACCTGTAGTCCCAGCCACTTGAGAGGCTGAGGCAGAAGGAACGCCTGAGCCCAGCAGGTTGAGGCTGTGGTTCGTGCCACTGCACTCCAGTCTGGGTGACAGAATGAGACTTTGACTCCCAGGGACTGACCCTTGAAGGACTTGATGAGAGAGGGCTTGGTCAGTGCTCAGCTGCCACTGCCTTCCTGGGGCTCATCTTCCCTCCCTGCACTCTGCCTTCTACTGTGTGGTGGGGGGAGGAGAAGTAACTCAGAGGCCCCCGAAGAACCTAGTGGGTCCTCAAAGGATGCTGCGAACCACCCTCCCCCACCCCACCCCCAATTTCTGGGAGAAAGACCCTGGCGAAACAGCCCCATATGATGATTAAGCTCTCTCTGCTCCAAATGCTATTAATGATCATAAAATTATCCACAGTTTTCTGAGGCCCGGTCCCAGGGTTTGCCTCCATGGGACAATAAAATCCCATGCCGAAACGATTTGGAAAAGGCAAAGACGGCCAAGCAGAGACGGAGTTAAACGAGCGGCAGCCTGCTCTCATTAACTCAGGCCATTCACATTTGTTACCAGGGATTTCTTTTTAATTAAAAAACAACCAAGTTATTAAAAAATAAGCTTGCAAGGGGCTGGCCAGGCAGCAGCCGAGGCCAGCGGGAACAAGCATTGCTCGCAGCAGGACAGACCGGGGCTTGGGCTGGGAAGGGGGCGTGGAGCAGATGTTCGTCGAGTCCTCTCCGCGTGCGCGCCTGTGTCTGGGAACCAGGAGCCTCGTGTGAGCCCCTCACCTGCCTCAGGACCTCGGAGTGTCGTATGCTCATCTGCAAACTGTAAAGTGCTGGGCAGGCGGGTGCGTTGCCTGGCCAGAGCCAGGGGCACATGGCAAGTTAGGACTGTCTGGCCTCAGCACAGGGATAGTTGTGTGCTGAAGGAACTGCCTTAGGGTGGGCTAGAATTAGGGTTGCAGGAGGTGGACCCTTGAGGTGGACTCTCTAAAAGTCCCCTTCTTATCGTACAGCAGTTAAGATGCAGGGTTTGGGTCCAACAGGCCTGATCTGGAAGTCCACTTCAGAGGATTACTATCTGTGTGTTCTTGGGTGAGTAATTGGACCCCCCGAGCCTCTGTTTTCTCCTCTGTAAAATGGGGCTAATAATGCTTATACTTCCCTCGATGGCAGTAGGGTGCTCAAATAAGACAGTGGTGTGAACCACCGACCCAGGGACTGCACATACCACTCTGAAGATGCTGCTGCTGCTGTTGTCCTTGTCCTTATGTAAAGGGACCAAGCGTGTCCTGGAATCAGCTTTCTTCACATCTTAATGGCTTATCCCACTCAGTGTTGACCATACCTGGGCAACACTTGGGTCTCCTAATAATATTTTATGACATGTGCAAGGCACTGTGAGTGTTTTGAAGGACTGTCTAACAGTCTAACAATGAGATCAATTTCCATGTCTGGGGCACTGGCTGGGCCCAAGCACTGTGCCGGGAGCTTTGCAACTCTGCTCTCAAAGCCCCATAGAATCGCAGGGAACCAGTTCCCCATCTTACATAGGGGAAACCGAGGGTTGGCCATGCTCAGGGATGTGTCCGGGTTGTGGGATTGGTTCAGGGCAGAGCAGGGGCTCATGTGGAGGTCTGTCTGGCCCCAGAGCGGGTGCTCTTTCCGCCTTAGCATCGCTCTGCGAGGTGATAGGGCGGAGAGCCTGAAAAGACAGTTTTCAGATTAGTATTCCTCATCTGTAGGTGAGGAAGCTGAGGCCCAGAGAGGGCAAGGAGGTTGCACCACCATGCCTAGCATTTTGTTACACTTTGTAAAATCTTTCAACAATGCTTTCATATCTACTGCCTCAGTTAATCTTCATAAAACACCAGTAGCAGGCAAGGGAGGATTCAGAGGTGTAAATTGCTATACACTGTATTTCTGTGGCATAATACAGTTTGGCAAACAGCGCAGATTGAGCTTTGGTGCTGGCTGCATTTAGTGAGCACCCATTCTCTGACACGCACATGTCGGTACTGCTCCCCCAGCCTGCCCTGCAGCTACCCTCCCCAGCACGTGTTCTCACACCTCACCCAGTGAGCACTGCATGGTTAGCATGAGGACAGTAGACCACACACTTCAAGAGACCAGGAGCTGCTCATTCTCTGATGTTTCCTATACCTAAAATAGTGTCTGGTACACAGTAGGTGCCCAGTGTTTGTGTAATGGTCATTCAACCTCCAGAGTTTCAGCGTCCACATCTGAGAATGGAGGATTTTATTATTGATCCTGCTGGTTGATTATGGGAATTAAATGGGTATCCTGGTTCCTCGAGTGCAGCAGGGGTGCAGTGAGTGTTGGCTCAGGGTGCTCTGTCCCTTGCTGCACCCCAGTGGCTGCCCTTTCCCTGCACCCCTCTGCAGGCTATCGCCACTTACTCTGTCTTCTCTCTCCCTGTCTTTCTCTGCCTAGTGAACGGGAGTTACGGCCACTGCACCCCAGGCTCGGAGAAGAGCCTGCTGGACCTGGACCTCGCTGAAGGCCCCAGCCCCACCTGCTGCCAGGGCCTGTTCCTCCCCACGGGAACCCCACCACCACGGGCTCACCCCCCAGCCTGCGAGAGGCTGTTGTATTTGCCCCACCCTAATAGGTACGTGCCCATCAGCTGCTTTCAGTGGACAGTCCTGGGGTGCCAGGGACCAAGAGCCTCAGGGCCCCACCCAGTCTGCTTGGCTGGTGGGACACACCGGGAAATGGAGGCATGAGAGGGCCCGGTAGCACAAAGGCTTGCTCCAGACCCTGCGCCTCCTGCTTGACCAGGGCCTTGAGAGACACAAAGATGGTTGGTTCTATTGATATGTATTGCACGAGGTCAGGCAGCTTTTCAAAGAGAGTTAGCCATTTCAGAAGAGGACAGTTTGGGGCTAGGCTGAGAAGGGAACATTCAGCTCAGAGTTCATACAGGGTCCAGCCCTGAACTGTTGATGAGGGGAGGATTCCTCCCTTGGTGTCACCTCCTGCCCCAAGAAATCATTGCCCTGCAGAGCCCTGCTGGGTGACCATCTAGTCAGAGAGCTTGCATGCTTCCAGCGATGTCCCTTCTGAGTGGATTTTTACTCGGTACCATACTGGGCTGACACCTGCCTCCCGCAGTTTTGCTTGGGGGTCTCAGCTGTGCCTTTGTCTTAGTCTGTTTTCTGTGCCTTATAACAGAATACCTGACCCTGGGTAGTTTATAAAGAAAAGGACTTCATTTCTGAACAGTTCTGGAGGCTGAGAAGTCCAAGGTCAAGGGGCCACATCTGGTAAGGGCCTTCTTGCTGGCAGGGACTCTGTAGAGACCGAAGCGGTGCAGGGCATCACCTCGCAAGGGGCTCAGCGTGCCAGCTCAGGCCCCTCTTCCTCTTATAAAGCTACCAGGCCAGTCCCATGACAGCTGATTAGTCCATCAACTCATGGACAGATTAATGCCTACATGAGGGCACAGCCCTCATGACCCAATCACCTTCTAAAGGCCCCACCTCTCAACACTGCTGTGCACGGGGTTCAGTTTCAACATGAGTTTTGGAGGAGACAGATAACTCCAACCATAATAGCCTTGGTGCTCTCTGGCTTGCTGGCAGCCAGGTCAGTCCCAGACAGGCTCTTTGCACAACCGCTTGGCTCCAGGATCCTTACCCACTGTTGGGGCTGCTGGCGAAGGCCTCCCTCACAGACCAGAGACCCTAAACACTGGCCCAGTTATTGGTTCGCGGTTCATTCCTTCACCTACTGTGCGCCAGGCACTGTGTCGGTGCCTACTGTGTGCCGGGCACTGTGGTCAGTGCTTGATGAAGGAAGCAAAGAACTTCTCATGGGAGCTCCACAGTGGAGCTCTTACTAACTAGAAGTGTGCTGTTCCTCCTACATGGAATCGTTTTTCCTTGAGGATGTACATCTTCCTGTGGCTTTCTTCGATGTGAGTGAGACTTCTGATTTATAGGAGCGCATTCATTGCCATATCCCGTGCCGTGGGCTAGGTGAAGTTAGCCTGTCACCATTCTAGAGGCTGGAAGTCCAGGATCCGGGTGCTGGCAGGGGTGGTTTCTCCTGAGGCCTCTCTCCTGGGCTTGCAGGTGACCACTTTCTCGCTGTGGCCTCACAGGGTCCTCCCTTGGTCTGTGTTTTCTGTGACCTCATCTTCTCTTCTTAGAGAGATCTGTGGGATTAGGACATGTCGTTTTAAGTACTTCTTTAAGGGCCCTGTCTCCAAATTCAGCCACATGGGGGGTTGGGTTTTTAACACAGGACACAGCTCAGTTCTTAACAAGGAGCAAGCGTCTTGTATACTTCGAGCTGCATGCCGTTCCGTGACAGGCAGGCACATTTATCTACTCAATAATTCACTTGAGGATCCCAGTGGTGTCCAGATTCTCCAGTGAAATTCATTCTATCTCAGGGTAGAAGCTGTGCTAACCTAGGAAAGGAGGCGGACTTTTCTTTTGGATAGAAACAAAAATATCATTTGTCATTTTTACTATTAAGTGTCATTTTGAGAATTTAAGGCACAGGAAGTCTGTAGCCAGAATCCTAGGCCGGTGTTCGCTGGAGGTGCCGCCTGCCTGCAACCAAAGTGGCTGCCCTGGAGCTGACACACATGGATTCCCTCACCTCCCTGAGGAAAGCAGGCCCCAGACTGTCCCATGCCCACTCTGAACCCTGTGGCTTCTCCCCACCGTGGGTGACCTTGTGTTTGGGGCCCTCCTCTCCTGCCACCTCTGCCACCCCATCTCGGGTCCCTGGAGCTAGCGCCTGGGCTCCTGCCTTAGCAGTCTCCCTGCTTCCAGCCTCACTTTCTTTTTTTCTTTTTTCTTTTTCTTTTGAGTTGGAATCTCACTCTGTCACCCAGGCTGGAGTGCAGTGGCACACTCACGGCCACCCCAGCGTCGACTGGGTTCCAGCGATCCTTCTGCCTCAGCCTCCCAAATAACTGGAACTACAGGAGCGTGCTACCGCGCCTGGCTAATTTTTTTGATTTGTTGTAAAGACAAGTTTCGCCGAGTTCCCCGGGCTGGTCTCGAACCCGCGGGCTCAAGCAGTCCACTCGCCTCAGCCTCCCAAAGTGCTGGGATGACAGACTGAGCCACCCAGCTTGGCCCAGCCTAACTTTCTAATACCCGTAAAAATAGCCCCGGCTTCTCTCATTAGGCCTCACTGTCCCAGGAGACCCAGGCCCTGCTGCTGATAAGCAACCATAGAGGGTGCTTACTGTGCACCAAGCTGAGCACGTCACATGTATTAACTCTCTCAACCCACAATGGCCATCAAGTGGGGAAACTGAGGCCAGAGAGGCTGCATCACTCGCCGGAGGTCATTCAGCAAGTGATGAGAAGTCTTCAGCGATACTCCTGAATTTGTCGTTTCTGTGCTTAAAATGGCTGCCCACCACCCCGACCGCTAGGGGAATGTGTCATTGGTGCAGTTTAAGCCTTTCCTCCATCACTGGCTCTCTGGAGGTTTGAGGCAAGATGCCGAGCCTCTTCAGGCCTCATTTTCTTGCCTGTAAGGTAAGGATAGAAACGCACGAGCAGGCCCCCAGCGGGTCAGGAGGCGCTCCTGACCTGGCCCCTGGCTGCCACCACACAGCCTCTTCTGCAGCCACACCAACCTCCTGGTCTCGCCCTAAACAATGGACTGTGCACTTTTACAGCTCCCGATCTCAGCCTTTGGAACGCCCCCTTTGCTCTTCTGTTTGCCAGGACTCTGCCTACCCCTGAACAGGGCTTCAGTGTTCTCTTGGAGGACTGGTCCACGGTCGCTCCTTCCCAAGGGCCGGGACCTGGCCTTCTCCAGCCCTCAGCATCCCCGGCACAGAGTGAAAAGCCTGTGGAGTGAAATCTCTGACCCTCAGCCTGGGCTGCAGCCCCTGAGCATGTGGGAATATGGCCCACGAGATCTAAGACCCCTCCCATCCCTCTGACTCTCTGGTGGAGAAATACTGATTATCCCAATCTCAGCAGCCTCCTTCCAGGGTTCGGGAAGATGGACAGGAGAACATTTGAGTGTCTGATACTGAGAATGTTGAAGTTGTAAGGAAATGTGATGGTCATCAAATTAAATCATTCCATAGAGGAGGAAGCTGGGGGGGTACATGCTGTGGGGAAATCCCAGCCGTCTGATTCAGACAGATACAGGCTCCAGTTCCTGCTTGTCACTGCCTCTGTGGGTGGGGCGAGTCACTTCAGTTCTCATCATCGGAAAAGATGGTAGGTACCATCTGCCATGAAGCTTGCAGATGTGCATTCAGCAGATACTTACTACTTGCATCTCCCATTGCGTTGGGATTGCATGAGGTGGCCCTCAGGAAGGTGCCCCACACATCTGGCTACTTCACAGCCGTTTGCTCTGTTGAGGGAACCAAGCCCGCAATTTCTAGAGATGTGGTAGGAGTCGCCCTATAGGGTGCACAGGGCTCAGCAGCAGGGCAGGGCTGGACCCACTTGGTGGGCCTCCCAGAAATGGTGAAGGCTGCTCCACACTGCCTCTGTGGGTGGGGAGCTGTGAGACCTCCGGCCCCCAACCACCCTCCCCACCTGATGCCACGCCGAGGTCTGCTGTCAGTATTCAGTGATGCGGGTCACGCGTCACGGATTGCTGCCACCCTTCTCCTCTCTTGGTTTGGGTTGATTTACCTGAAGCTGTTTTCAAAGGGATTGCTCCAAGCAGATGTTAAGCTGGCTGCTGTTTCCTGCCCACACCCACCTTCCCAGGCCCCGGGTCATGGTGCCCTGAGGAGCCGCTGTGCTTTTTAAATTTTTTTAAGCTCCACCAAGTTTCAACTTTGCTATCAGATCTTTAAGCTACTGGGAGCTTTCAGACAGGGTGAGGCTGCATGGCATGTCCTAGCCAGACTCCGGCCTCTTGTTCTGCCCAGCCAAGCAGCGGGGGCTTCTCCGACTCCCAGCCCCACTCCCCTTCCTGGCCCTTCCCCTTTTCAGAGTGCTCTGGTGACAGGCCCTGGGGTTTCTCTCTGCACCTTTCCTGATTTCTCGGCTCAGAATGGCGGGAGCGTCAGTGCAGTATCCCCCTGTGTCCTTTAAACTTGGCCTCCTGTGCTATGGCAGAGGAGAGCTCCTCCCTAGGATGGCACAGTACCTCGCCCAAGTGTGCACGAGTGAGCTGTGGCCGAGCCTGGCCTCAAGTCTGTGCGCTCCCACGTGCTGCCCGACCTGGCCTGCCCCACGGCGTTCCACAATTTCATGCATCACGGCATCTGGGCCTGAAGTCCTGGGACCGCTCCCCTTTGGTGACTCCTGAGACGTCCCTCCCACCATGACCCATTGACGTTAACAGTGGAGAAGATAGGCTGCTTGGGGCAGAACAATTAGCATTTTTAGAGGTTAAGCAAGATTACAAACATCAAGCAAGACTTAAGAGACATGTTCGTGGAATTTAAAAACACACTGGACCTGAGTGTTTCTTGGAATGCCAGGCTCTGCCTTCTTCCTACAGAATTCCCAAGGAGGCCATGGGGTGGGGTTAGGGCAGACTCTGGGAGGCCTGGGGCAGGGAGGGGGCAGCCAGGCCTGGAGGGGTGGGCTGGGTTTTGGTAAAAAGGACGAAAGGTCCTCTGTCTTGACGTTCTCCTCTTCACAGTCACCTGTCAGACCTCCACCTCTCCTGATTCCCTCCCCAGCCCATGTCTTCCTCTCTCTCCCTCTCTCCAGACCACCTATCTCTCTCTCTCTCTCTCTCTCTTTCTCTCTCTCTCCCCGAGCCTTTGCCCTGGCCGTCTCCTTCCCTCAGTCCTCAGTTCCCCTGCTGTGGAATGCCTACTCTCTCATGACCTCTCTGGCCACTGTCTTCCAGGTCTCCCAGACCCCAGGCCGCATATGTGAACGGCAGCCTCCCAGTCACACAACACATCAAGCAGGAGTCTCTGCCTGCCTACCAGGCCATGGCCGAGGCCCGCACACCCCTGTCTGCCCACTGTCGGGTCCCGCCAGCCACTGGCCTGCACACAGACCTGGACGTTTCGGGCCGAGGCCTCGCCAACCCCGCGCTTTCCTGCTACCTTCTGGGCAGCGAACCCAGCTCTGGCCTGGGCCCCCAGCCTGAGGCCCACCTCCCGGAGGGCGGTCTGAAGCGCTGCTGCCTCTTGGGCTTGCCCCCGACCTCCTCGGCCTCTTCCTCACCCTGTGCCTCCTCCGACGTCACCTCCATCATCCGCTCCTCCCAGGCGGCTCTGGTCACCTGTGTAAATGGACTCCGGAGCCCCCACCTGCCTGGAGACCTTGGGGCTCCTCCCAGGCGGGGCCGGCCTGGCGCTCCATCCTCTGAGGGCCACGAGGGCAGCTTGCAACTTGACACCTGCAGGAAGGCAGGCTTCCTGAAGCAGGAGCCCACAGACGAGTTCTCAGAGCTCTTCGGGCCTCACCAGCAGGGCCTGCCGCCCCCGTACCCCCTGCCTCAGTTGCCACCTGGCCCGGGCCTCGGAGGCCTGGGGCTGGGGCTGGCGGGCAGGGCAGCGGCCGGGCAGCAGGCCCGCCGGTGGGGGGGCTGCTGCGCGGGCT